TTGATGTTTTAAAACAAGCTGACACTGTAGTCCAGGTTCACCTACTATGTAGCCCAGGCTGGTCTTAACCTCATTGCAATCATCCTGCCTCAGCTTCCCAAGTACTGGGACTAGAAACATAAGATACCATGCCCAGCTTTTTGTTCATTTGTTTTGAGACAAGGTCTCCCTAAGTTGCCCATATTCAACTTGAATAAAGGATGGGTGCTCAGTGGGGAGAAGCACAGGTGTAAGCCCTCTTGCTGACAGTCATGAAGCAGTGTCCCCTGGAATCTGATATCACCAGCCTTTGAAAAGGTCCAATCTCAACTGGGCCCATGAGAGCCTACCCTGGGCTCTCCTGGGAAGAGAGAGCTGTCACTCAACTCCAAGGCCAGACCTTTACATCCCAGGTCTAGTGCTGAGAACAAGGCCTGACACTCAGTAACTCCCAAGGACATAACTGAAAAACTAAAACTAGATGGGTGATGCTGGACATAGTGGTATTCCAGAAGTGGGGAGGGTGGAGCAGCAGGATTGCTCAAGTTTGAGGGCAGCCTGGTCTACATAGTGAGTTCCAGGTCAGCCAGGGCTCTTGAATAAGACTTGGTTTCAAATATCCAAACCAAATCAAGAGTCGGTGTGGAGGTGCACTCGTGTTACTCCAGCTGCTCGAGAGGCTGGAGCCAGATGATCGCCAAGTTCAGAGTCTGCCTAGGCAAGAGAGTGTGCTTAAGGCCAGTCTCTGAACTTAGAACTTGTCTTCAAATAAAAAGAGTGGTGCTCTCTTTCAAAGCCTACATCCACACCTGGGTCCCATCTGTTAGTTAGTTTTTGTCAACTGACACAAATCTAGAGTCATCTGGGAGGGAAACTCCATTGCAGAATTGTTTCCATCAGCCTGGCCTATGGCCGTATCTGCAGGGGCATTTTCTTGATTACTGATGCCCTCTTCTGGCCTCTGTAGGCACTGCACAACATGGGTACACTTACATATATGTAGACAATACACTCATACACATAAAATTTTTTAAATTAAATATTTTTTTAAAAAAGAGAGGTAGCTGAGCAAGCCAGGGGAAGCAAGCCAGTGAGCAGTGCTCCTTCATGGTCTCTGCTTCAGCTTCTGGCTCCAGGTTCCAGCCTTGGCTTCCCTCAATGATGAACTGCATCTGTTAAGCCAAACAAACCCTTTCCTCCACGTTGTTTGGTTACAGCATTTTACCAAAGCAACAGAAAGCAAACGAGCAGCCATCCTTTTCCCAGTGCCAGGCACTTCACAGTAACTTTCATACTAAAATCTATGCTAAAACCTTTTTGCATTTTACTTTTTGTTGTTGTTGTTTTTTAACTTTTGTTTTTTGAGACTTTGTAGCGTAGGCTAGCCTGGAACTCACTCTATGTAGCCCAGTCCAGCCTTGAACTCATAGCAATCCTCCTGCCTCAGCCTACAGATGAACAGCACCACACCTGGCTTAAATGCTTTTCTTTTGTGTGGGGTAGATGTGCAGGTATATATAAACATGGAGACGCTAGAGGTCCACCTTAGGAGCCATCCAGCCTGGTTTATTCATGTTTCCGTGGTATACATGTGTGTACATATTTATGCATGTGTTTCACCTTGTTTTTCGAGACAGGTTCTCTCACTAGGACCTGGGGCTCCACAATTAGTATAGGCTGGCCCAAGCTCCTGAGATCTGCCTGTATCTGCTACTCCAGTACTGGGATTACAAACATGCCCCCCATGCTCAGATTTTTATGTGGGTGCTGGGGATTGAATTTAGGTCTTCCTGCTTAGGCAGCAAGCACTGTTTCAGCCATAAAGCTTTTCTTCTTAGCCAGGCCTAGTGGCAATACCTTTAATCTCAGCACTCAGGAGGCAAAGGCAGAGGCAGAGGCAGGCAGATCTCTGTGAGAACAGGCCAGCCTGGTCTACAAGGTAAGTTCCAAGCCAAGTGGGGCTACAGAGAAACCCTGTCTATAAATAAATAAATAAACAAATAAATACAAACAAAAAAACAAAAGCAACGATAACAACAAAAACCTGCATAGCAATGCTGAGAGCATAAACAAGTCCCATTAAGTTCAAGTCAAACAAAATCCAGCATAGACGTGGGGAGGAAGAAACCCCAATTCTGAGGAACTACTGGCAGTAAATGACTGCTGGGGAGGCTCAGCCTCATCTTAATGCGAGACTTCTCCCTTATTAGGTTGACCAGGCTGCAGGGGCTGAACCCACACTGAAGGAACACAAACCCGACTCTACAGGCATATATGTGTGTGTGTGTGTGTGTGTGTGTGTGTGTGTGTGTATGTGTATGTATATATATATATATAAAAATTTGGCTGGAGGTTAGAAAGGGGGATGCAGACATGGGAAGGGATCTAATTATGATAAAAATATATTGTATGAACGCCGGGTGTGGTGGCATGCACCTTTAATTCCAGCCCTTGGGAGGCAGAGGCAGGTGGATCTCTGTGAGATCAAGGCCACCCTGATTCACATTGCAACTTCCAGGTGGGCTGTGACTAGGGAGACCCTGTCAAAAAACAACAAAAAGACCAAATACACACACAGAGTATAAAATTTGCAAAAGTTAAAAAAAATAAAAACAAGCCGGGCATGGTGGCACACGCCTTTAATCCCAGCACTCGGGAGGCAGAGGCAGGTGGATCTCTGTGAGATCAAGGCCACCCTGATTCACATTGCAACTTGCAGGTGGTCTGTGACTAGGGAGACTCTGTAAAAAAACAACAAAAAGCCCAAATACCCACACAGAGTATAAAATTTGCAAAATTTAAAAAAAAAAAAAAGCTCTTCTGGGGCTGGAGAGATGGCTCAGCGGTTAAGAACACTGACTGTTCTTGCAGAAGACCCAGGTTTGAATCCCAACACCCACACGACAGCTAACAACTGTTCAACTGTTCGTAACTCCAGTTCCAGGGGAATCTAATACCCTTGACACGGGTGCACTTACCTACATGCAGGCAATACACAAATGCACATAAAATAAAAATAAATATTTTTTTTTTAAAAAAAAGAAAAGAAAGACTTAATGAGGCATGGTAATTCATGCCTGGAGTCCCAGCTCTTAGAAGACTGCAGGAGAAAGATCACCTCAGTCTCAAGGCCAGCCTCAGCTACACAGTGAGCTCTAGGACAGTCTGGGCTACAGAGTAAGACTGTGTCTCAAATACAAAACAAAGTATGGATTAGGAGGAAAGAAAAATTTTAAAAAAGAGGAAAAAGAATTTTTTAAAGACAGCTTGTGCCATGGCAGAGCATAGCATGTGTGACACACTGGGTCCAATCCCCAGCACTAGAAGAAAAAAATAAATCAAACATTCCCTCAGTCCACCTGCCCCTACCCTCCCCTTTCTAAAACAAAACTTTTTTTGAGACAAGGTCTCCCAGTAGCCCCAGCTGGCCTGAAATTTCACTATGTAGACCAGGTTGTCCTCAAACTCACAAAAAATCCACCTGCTTCTGTCTCCCAAGTGCTGGGATTAAAGGCATGTACCACCACACTTTTTTTTTTTTTAACTTATTTAATGTGTATTTTGCTTTCATGTCTGTAAGTGTACCCATATCATGCAATGTCCACAGAGGCCAGAAGAGGGCATCAGATCCTCTGGAACTGGAATTAGGGACAGCTGTGATCGCTATGTGGGTGCTAGGAACCAAACCCAGGTCCTCTGCAAGAGCATTCAGTGCTTTTAGCTGCTGAGCCATTTCTTCGGCCCCTTTCCTGCATTTTGTGTCAGGGTTTTGCTGTGTGTTTCAGGCTGATCTTGAAGCTGGAGATCCTCAGGCCTCAGCCTCCCAAATGCTAGAATTACAGGCATGCCCTACAATACATGGGTCCCCCAACCTCTCTGCTCTCCTTCCAGCTGGCATCACCTGGTCCTTAGCTTTGGTCTAGCTGTCTACAGGTGCTGACCCAGCTCAGGTGGCCACCTAAGTAAGCCCTATCAGCCACTCGGCCTCTCCCCAGGGAGCTGTGGTGACAACTCACTGTCAAGAAGGTTAAGAACTCCCTGTTCTCCATCTCTGCCAACAGCCATTCCCAGGATGACAGGTAGGTCTGGGTAGACCAGGACTTTTTCCAACTGCATGCTGGCTGCTATGCCTAGACACTCAGCCTACCTCACCAAGCCACCCTGTTCCTCGCCTACTCAGCCTACCTCACCAAGCCACCCTGTTCCTCGCCTGGGCTACATCATCAATGGCCACACAAATCGCCACTCCCTGATTCAAACTTTGATGCTCTGAGCTAATGTACATATTCCTCAGCCTGGTGCCAAGGCCCTCCTACCCAGGGCCTTTGCTGTCTCTGTCAGAATGTTCTCCTGAACTTCACAAAGCTGCCTTTTCTCATTCCAATTTACTTAATGGTGTTGCCTTAAAACATATGATACACCATACACCTGAAGTGGTCCTGGCCACTTTCCTCAGTCTGTTTCTTTGGGCAGCACCATCACAGAACAGCTGAGAGGTTGTCTGCAGTTGGTTCATGCCTGTAATTGCACTATTTTGGAGGTTGAGGCAGGAGTATCCTGAGTTTGTGGCCAGCCTGGGCTACACAGTAGGACTCTATCTCAAACAACAAAAGCAAAAAAGGCTGATAGAATTCTCACCTAGCATGCATAAAGCCCTGGGTCCAATCTCCAGCACTGCATAAAAATTGGGAACAGCAGCACACACGTACAATCTTAGCAAGTCTAAGGTGGTGGTAAGAGACTAGAAGCTCAAGGTCATCTTCAGCTACAGAGCAAGTTTGAGGCTAGTTTAGGATACAGGAGACCCTATCAAAAAAGAAAGAGAGAGAAAGAGAGAGGGAGGGAGAGAGAGAAAAAAAAGAAAAGAAAGAAAAGAAAAGAGGGTGAGTGTGCTGGCGCATGCCTTTAATCCCAGTACTTGGGAGGCAGAAGCACGTGGATCTCTATGCTTTCGAGGCCAGCCTAGTCTACATAGCAAGTTCCAGGACAGACAGAACTACATAGTAAGACCCTGCCAAAAACCAACAACAACAACAAAAATAAAACAAACAAAAAGAACAAAGGAAAGAAAGCAACCAAAAGGCAGAGTGGCAGGAGCAGATGAACCCCTGGGGAAAGCCACAGTGACAGAGCTTGTAGGAGAGGAGGTGGCTTAGCTGAGCGGTGACTGTGACCATGACTCCCCTCAACCCAGGGCCTGGTGCATGAAGGAGCTCTGGGTCCAGCCCTTCCCCAGCGCCCACCCCTCACTGTGTTGGTATGAAGAACAGATCTGTGACTCACGCTGAAGGAGGGTAAGGAAACGTTTTGGATGTCACAAAAATATATTCAAACAGCTGTCATCTCTCAGAAATCTCTCCCTTCCCAATGCCCCTTGCCCACCACCCATAAAAGAAAAAAACGGCCAGGGCAGGGAAACGGAGGAGCCCCGGCTGCAGCCCAGGGTCTGGGGGGGTCCCTCCAGCCTGGGAATGGAGGGCGGCTAACAGTCTCTACAAGCTCGACGCCACCGTCGACGAGGGGGCCGCTGGGAGGCCAGAGGTGCAGGAGGGTTGGGCAGGACGCAGCGGACGGTCGGGCCTTGCCATAGGGACAGAAAACAGAAGAGAAATGAAAAGAGTGAAGACACGGAGACACCCAGCAGGGAAGGGGCAGAGGAAGGAGGTAGTCACAGGGTGGGGAAAAGGGAGTCCCTCCAGGTAACACCTCTTTGCACGGAGGCAAGGGGACAGGTGGATGTGAGGCAGCAGGTGCTGCTGGAAAGGGGGGAAGGCGGAATGCATGGAAGGGGCAGGGCACTTGGCCTTGGGGAGAGGTAGAAAAGGGGAGTATGCCAAGGCCACAGCTGGAGGGCAGAGAACAGAAGGCAGGAGAATGGGGAAGAGTTCCAGAGTGGGCAAGGAACATCAAAGACCAGGAAAAATGCCTGAATCCCCAAGTGTTTGGGACCAGTGTGAACACTTGAGGGAGCCGAGCCCCAGGTCATCTAGAACTGGCAGGGAGGGGAGATGAACCCTCATGAGAGGCTGGAAGGGGCCAGGGTGGCCGACCGCAGCTCTGTGTATCAGCTAGAAGGTCCACCCAACCCTGTGTACCAGCTAGAAGGTCCTGCGGCCCAGTCTTTTGAACACGCTCACAGTGCCAGCATGGTCCATCTGGGCACCAAGGCTCTCGCTGGAGCTGTTTCCCCGGGGCCCCACCAGAGTCCTCTTAATGGTGAACTTGACCTCAGCTGAGGACTTACTCTTGGTGCTTGTGACCTGGCTGTCCTGGGCCTCAGGCACAGCGGCAGCCTTGCCCAGTCTCTGAATGATGCTGACTTTGGGTTGGGACTCTGGCTTCTTCTCCAGCCCAGGGCGAGAGGAAAGTGCCAGGCGCCGCAGCGCAGGGGGGGCAGCCATTGTCGTGGTGGCTGAGCTTGTGGCCTTGGCTTTGACAGTCAGTGCTGGCTGAGAACTGGCCTTGGCTGGGCCCCGTCCTAGATTCTTCAGGACCCCGGCGTACTGAAGGACAGAGCTGCTGCTGTCATTATCGCTGTCCCAGGCCAGATCCTCATCCATCTCTGGGGTGGCCCCCAAGCGGCTGAAAACTCCTGTGGGCTTTGCAGGCCAGAAGCAAGACAGTGGGTCATTTAGTCACTCAACATGGTGACTGCTCTGTGCTGGCCTCTAGGAAATCAGTTGGGACTGATATCCCAGGTACAGTGGGGGGCAGCCATGATGAAGACCAGGAGATGGGGAGCCCAGATCTTGCCTGGGGGCTCTGGAAGATTCCCTAGGAGAGGGCACAGCCCATGGGAGCTCTGAAAGCTGAATGGCAGTGGCTCTAATGAGGGGGAGGAACAGGTGTGTCATACAGAGGGCAGACCACAGGCAAGATGGTGAGCATCCTGCGCTGGAGGCCCAGGATAGGAGTGGCTGTGGCGAGACATGGGGGGGCTACTAGAAGGAAATCCAGCAGCCATCAGACAGATTGGGGCTGGGCGGGAAATTAGGCAAGGACAGACAGAAGACAGACATGAATACTAACTACCATAGCCAAAAAGGGACTGAGGTTTAATGGGTGGGAAGACAGAACTGGGGCATGTGAGACATATGTGAGTGTCAGGAACCCACTGGGAAGACAAGAGCTGCCCACCCCAAAGCTCCTACACTACCTACTCACCTTAGTCCCCGTTGTCGTGTCCGCCTTGGTTTCAGCGCCAAGGCGATCAAACACAGACGTCCTGTGGAGACCTGGGAGCGAAGTGACACCATGAGGCAAAGCCTGCCTAGTGGCCCCAAGGGAGCAGGCTAGGCTGAGCAGAGCAGATGTCAAGGAGGCGACACCACCAGCCCAAATTCCTAGCTCTGGGCTCTGCCCCAGCAGGAACAGACCATGCTGACCGAGGCTTTACAACTACATTGTTGGCTCGTGATGAACCACACACACATGACTAGGGTCAAATGTACTAAAGATTAACGAAAACTGACACCTAGAATTCCTTGTACCTTTGTACAAGTTGATGGGGGAAGGGTCTATTGTAGCCCAGGCTGAGTTTGAACTCACTGTATAACAGGCTGGCTTTGAACTGATCCTCCTGCCTATACCTCCCAAATGCTAGGATTACAGGTGTATGTTACCACACCTGTTTTGGGTGAAGAATTCTTAGGGTCATGGGTATCTGATAAAATGCAGTGAATGGTAATGAGCACTCGGGAGGCAGAGGCAGGTGGATCTCTGTGAGTTCGAGGCCAGCCTGGTCTACATAGTAAGTTCCAGGACAGCTGGGCCTACAGGGAGACCCTGTCTCAAAAAGCACCACCACCAACAAAAAAAAGCAGGCTGAGTAATAAGACTCTCTCAGAATAAGGATAAAGGGAGAAGGGCCTAAGAGCTGAAGAGCAGAGCACCTGGGTAGCCTGAATGAGGCCCTGGGTTCAACCCCAGCACCCTAAAATAAAAGAGAAAGGAAGGACAAAGAAAGGAGCAAAAGCCAGGATTCAGCAGCACTTAGGAGGTTGAGGCAGGAGATCACCTCAAGTTTGAGGCCAGCCTCATCTATATAGTAAGTTCCAGGCCAGCCTGGGCTGCAGTGGGACCCTGTATCACATTAGGAGAGTGCAGGATGGGATTGGGAGGCAGGGAATGTGACGGCATAGCAGGGAAGACCATCTACCACCAAACTACAAGAGTTCGGTCCCCTAGGACCAGGGGAGCAGGAGAGAACCAACTCCCTCAAGTTGTCCTCTGACCGCCATATATGCACACACACATGCACACACACACACACAGACACACACAATGCACAAAATGAAATAAGTAAATATAAAACCATTTTCTTTATAAAACAAAAGAGGGCCAGTGAGACTGCTCAGTGAGTGGAGGTGTCCGCCACCAGTGCCACACCCAACAACATGAGTTTGACCCCTGGGTGGAAAGAAGAGAACTGACTCCTTCAAACTGGCCCCTGACCTCCACATGTGTGCAAGACAGATAGACAGGCAGGCAGGCAGACACACACAGACACACAAAATGTAAATTAAAAAGTCAGAAATGTAATTTAAATGTAATTTTAGAAGCCCCCCCCCGCCCCAAACAACACAAGCTATTGCCATCGCTCTTGGCTGCCCACCAGAACTAGATGGTAACCCTACCGCTGCAGACAAAGCACACTTGTTTGCAGAACACAGAGAAATCAAGCTGGAACTGACCCCAAAACTTCCCCCTGGCCTGCTGGCTAGCTTTCCTAGTGCTGGAAGGTGCTATGCAGGATACTGGGGGGAGACAAGGAATCAATGGCCTTGCCAGAATGCTAAAGTATTAACTTGCCAGGAAATATGTGCCCACTGGTATAAAAGTGGCATGAAGATTATGTGGGTAACCAACCACTTTGATTGGCTTTGAGGTTTGCTCCACAGGAGGAAATTCAAACCTGGAACTGGACACCTGGGCAAAAACTCATGGCTCAGGTCACAGGCCCTAGGGGAGAACCTAATTCTGATGTTTTGTTAAATGGACATGTTGTCACTCTGCCTTCTGAACAGTTATAGTCATACCCATGGTTAGCGCTGCTCTCAACCAGAGAGCCTTCTGCAGTGGGCAGCAGGCTCTGCACTCAGAACTGGTGGGAGCAGAGAACAAGTGGAGGCTGAGTGCGCAGCCCTAGGTGCGCAGCCATAGGTGGGACATCTGTATCAACATCCCTGAGGTTCAGAGACATTTCAGAACAGGGGGCAGAAAGAATGTAAACTCTGGGGGATGGGCAGGAGTGTGTGAAGTGCTGTCTTCTGGACATGACACGGTTGTTGCACTCATGAACTCACTGCTGTTATGGTTACCGGCACAAGATCAGCCACGATTCCAGAGCTAACTGGACTCAGTGAGTCACAAAGGGGGAGGGGGGAGCAGGACTTGAAGGGTGTTTTGGGGGGTGACTTGAGGAAAACAAGAAGGGGGGGTTGGGGTGGATGTGACCAAGATATATTATATACATGTATGAAATTGTATTAAAAAAGAGAAAAAAAAAATTAACATGAGAGGTTATGTTAGTACCTAGAGGATAATGTTATTAGTACTTGAAAGATAAAATGAAGGACTAAGAGAGGCAGGTGGATGTCTGTGAGTTCAAGGCCAGCCTGCTGTGTTCCAGGCCAGCTGGGGCTACAGGGAGACCCTGTCTCAACAAGATTAAAAAAAAAAAAAGAATGAAGGACTGAGGCTGTAGCTCACTGGCACAGCACTAGCAAAGCACACACAAAGCACTGGTTATAGCCTCAAAAATAAAACAAAATGGAATAGAGAGATGGCTCAGTGGGTAGGGCTGCTGCTCTCCAGAGGACCTGAGTTCAGTTCCCAGTACCCATGCCAGGCAGCTCACAACCACCTGTAACTTCAGCCCCAAGGAGATAGGACCCTCTTTTGGCCTCCAAAGGCACGTGCAGTATAAACATACATAGACATAGACACACACACACACACACACACACACACACACAAATACAAATAAAGAAAAAAAAAGAGGCCTCTCTAGAGACATAGTCACGCATCACACGCAGGTTTGTAGATGCCACTCTGGAGAGGGACAGCCATGTGGAGCAGCAAAAGAGGAAAGAACCTGGCTTTGCTGCGCACATCTGCACCAGGTGACATTCCTCCCAGAGAACCAACAGACCCTTCTAAAACACTGCCACCACAGGGCTTCCCACAGCACTGAGCATGGGCCCTGCTCTGGCCTTCTCTGCCTCACCATGCCAGTGCCCTCTGTGGGCCTGCCTTGACCAGACACAGTCACTCAATTTCTAGGCCAGCCATCACTGACTCCTTGTCCCTGCCCTTCAGGGACAGGGCACTGAAAAGCCTAGCCCCTCTTGTGGGAGGCAAGACAGGAGTGTAAAGGTGATGGGCTCTCTTCCTCCATGGTGCCTGTCCCCCTGGCCTAGTACCCTGTCAGTGCTCCCTCAGCCCACACCTACAGAGTAGGACCAACGCTCAGCAATACAGCCAGGAGATCCCCATCCACAACTCCCATGGTCTGTACCTTTCGCTGCCTGCTGTTGCTCCAGGATCTTGCGAGTGCGAGGGGTGGTACCCTTGGGCATGTGGATGATGTACTTCCCCTCCATCTCTGCCGTGACCCGGCGCCGCTTGGTAGGAACAGCCAGGTTGTCCTCCTCCCTGCGGGCCAAAGCTGGCAGGGAGACATGGGATCAGCTCCCTAGGAATAGGTGTTCTCCCAGGGTTGGGGTAGACATCCAGCAAAGGGCATGCCAGTCTCATTTTTGTGTTTGAGGTTTTGTTTTTGAGACTGTCTCACTATGTTGTTCTGGCTGGCCTGGGAGCTTGCTATGTAGAAGACTCAAACTCACAGAGATCTACCTGCCTCTGTGAATGCTGGGATTAAAGATGGACAGTGTGTAATGGGACTAGGTATCAGTTTGGATTCCAGCACCCATGTCAGGCAGCTCACAGTTTCCCTAAAAGCTCCAATCCCAAGGGATCTCTGTGAGCACCTGCACAGGCACATATACATACACATAATTAAAAATAAAGGGCCAGGCATGGTGGCGCACACCTTTAATCCTAGCACTCAGGAGGCAGAGGCAGGCAGATCTCTGTGAGTTCAAGGACAGCCTGGTCTATACAGTGAATTCCAGGACAGCTGAGGCTACAGGGAGACCCTGTCTCAAAAAGACCAAAAAAAAAAATAAAAACAAACTAAAAACAAAGCCAGGCGTGGTGGCACATACCTGTAGTCCCAGCACTTGGGAGGCAGAGGCAGGCGGATCTCTGTGGTTCAAGGCCAGCCTGGTCTACATAGTGAGTTCCAGGACAGCTGGGGCTACAGGGAGACCCTGCTTCAAAAAAAGACAAAAAAATAAAAGAATTAAAAAATTAAAAAAAAAAAACCAAGGCCAGATGTGTTAGTACACGCCTTTAATCCCAGCACTCAGGAGGCAGAGGCAGGCAGATCTCTGTGAGTTCAAGGCGAGCCTGGTCTACATAGGGAGTTCTAGGCCAGATGGGGCTACAGGGGGACTCTGTCTCAAAAAAAAATTAAAAAATTAAAAATAAATACAAAAAAAAACAAATCAGCAAATTAGAAAAAACAGACACAGAAATGAGGCCATGAGATGTGATCAAGTTCAGAGGTCAGTGACCCTTTGGTCTTTGAAGTTCCTTACCAAATTTGGGCATGACCCCCACTTTCTGCTTACCCACAATCCCCTGCAGCTCTGCCCACCACGTGCCCAAGTGCCCTCACCAGCTGCTTTGGCACTCTTCACTGCCATCTTATTGGACACAGTGACAGAGATCTTGGAGGTGTTGGTGTCTGGCCGCCTTGGGGGACTGTGTGGTGGGGAGTCGTGGTTTAGGCTGTTGGCAATCATTCGAGAGGCGGCTGTGGGAGGAAGAGAGAGTGCCATTGAGCAGAACTCTAGGAGCAAGTCCTCAACTCAGCAGTGCCAGGGCCAAGAAGGCGAGCACTGGACTGAATGAGGAAGGGGCAGCGGCCCCTGTAGTGCTCCTGTAGATACACCACCTTTGTGATGAGGACACTTGGGGTTGGGGGCAGCGCTACCTCTTCATCTTCCCAGGAACCAGCCTCTTCCAACTCCTCCCCTAACCATCCCACCTTACCAGGACCCCACTACTTTATTAGATATATATATATATATATATATCTTTATTTTTGGTCTTTTTGAGACAGAGTCTCCCTGTAGCCCCAGCCGGCCTGGAACTTATAGAGCTCTGCCTGCCTCTGTCTGCCAGGTGCTGGGACTAAAGGCTTGCGCCACCATGCCCACCAGGACCCTGCTACTTCTACTGTCCTGTCCCATAATCCCATAATGTGTTCTCTTTAAGCATCTCCACAGCCCTCACCACTGACTAACAGGAAAACACACACACACACACACACACACACACACACACAGTTTTGTTTTGTTTTTTTCTTTTGAAAACCTGGTCTCAGGCCAGGCATGGTAGTGCACCCTTTAATCCCAGCACTTGGGAGGCAGAGGCAGGTGGATCTCTGTGAGTTCAAGGCTGGCCTGGTCTACACAGCAAGTACCAGGCCAGCTAGGGCTACAAGGAGACCCTGTCTTAAAAAGACAAAAAAAAAGGTACTATATAATCCAGGCTGGCCCATTCACAGCAGTCCTCCTGACTCAGCCTCCCAAGTACTGGACTATAGGTGTAAACCACTAAATACAGCTTTGGTTTCAGTTTTGTTGTTGTTTTTGTTTTTGTTTTTTTCTTTGTCTTTTTGAAGCAGGGTCTCCCTGTAGCCCCAGCTGTCCCGGAACTCACCATGTAGACCAGGCTGGCCTTGAACTCAGAGATCCACCTGCCTCTGCCTTCCAAGTGCTGGGACTACAGGCGTGGACCACCACGCCCGGCTTGGTTTCAGTTTTCAAACTTCTATCGGGCTGGTGAGATGGCTCAGCGAGTAAGAGCACTGGCTGCTTTTGCAGAGGACCCTGGTTCAATTCCCAGCACCCACAAGGCAGCCAACAACTATCCGAAACTCCAGTTCCAGGAGGTCTGATGTCCTCTTCTGACCTCTGTGGGTAATGCACAAGTACACTTGCATGCAGGCAATACACCCATACACACAAAATAAAAATAAATAAAAATTTTAAATTTATTTCAAACTCTGAAAGGCATTCAGAAAGGTAGGAAAATGTTCTCAATAGCACCTGAAAGACAGACAAAACTAACATATGCTGCCAACAGCCAAGGCTGTGGGTGCCCTGGAGTGGGGAAGTCACTGAGTGACTGGAAAGGGGATTGGGGGGCGGAACACTAGAAGGCCAGTCATGTTTCTATCTGTCTTTGATGCTGGCTACAGGATTCCCTCTCCAGGTACATCATACAGCTAAGCCTTTCTGTGGAGGTGAGAATGGAACTCAGGGCCTCACACAGGCAAAGCACATAGTCTACGGCTGCACTACACTCCAACAGCTGGGCTACTATGTGGTTTGTGTTGTGTTCTTTTATTGTTTTTCTAAAACAAGTCTCACTATGTAGACCAGGCTGGCCTCAAACTGACAGAAATCCTCCTGCCTCTACCTCCTGAGTGCTGGGATCAAAGGTGTGCACCACCACACCCAGCACAGCTGAGCCATTATGATCAAACCCTTTCTGTATATATGTTGTGGGCCTGTTAGGGGAACGAACCTTGATTTGTGTAACTTCTCTGTGTCCATGCCTTTGGGTGTGCCCTACTCACACTGATTCTGGGTTTAGCCTTGTGACTTGCTTTGGCTAGTGGCACAGTAGGATCTTGCACTTGGGCTTGCCCTTTAATGCTGTTGTAGGGAACCCTGCAACTCCCACTGTGGGAACATGCCCAGGCTAGCCTGCTGCATAATCAGAGGCACTAAGTCACCCTTACTCCGGCTGGCATCAAGCCAACCACCAGACATGTGAATGAAGCCATCCTTCTCCCTAGATGTCATGAGACCTCAGAGATCTGCTGAGCTGGATCTGAGAACAATGACCAGTCACTCCATAGAGCTATGAGAAATGTTGTTTGTCCGATGTTGTGTACTTGTGTGTATGATACTTGTGTATGTATGTGTCTGTCCATGTGAGTGTGGGCCTGGTCTCACATTCTCACATATGTGCAGAGGAGAGGACAACCTCAGGCATTCGAGCACCTTCCACCTCATCTGGGATAGTCCCTTGTTCACCACTACATACACCAGTCCCTCGGGCCTGCCTGTGAGCCTCCAGGGAGCCTCCTATCTCCACTCCCGTCTCACTGTTGGAGCACTGGGATTGCAGAGGTGCACTGCAGTACGCATCTTCACATGGGTCTGGGGCTCTGAATTCAAGACCTCATGTTTACACGAGCAGCACTTACCCATGAAGCCATCTGTCTAGCCATTTGCCTGTTTGCTTTCTTTCTGTTTCATTTTGGGTTTTTTTTGGGGGGGGGTTGGACTTTTTGAGACAGGGTCTCCCTGTAGCCCCAACTGATCTGGAACTCACTATGTAGACCAGGCTGGCCTTGAACTCACAGAGATCCACCTGCCTCTGCCTCCTAAGAGCTGGAGTTAAAGGCCTGCGCCACCATGTATGGCATATTTATTATTATATGTGTGTGATGTCTGTGTGGAGGTGCGCATGCCATAGTGTGCACACGGAAGCTGGAAGACAACTCTGTAGAGTCAGTTTTCTCCTTCCAACTTTAAATGGGTTCTGGAGATAGAACTCAGGTTACCAGGTGTATGGTATGCACCTCTGTGGAGGGAGCCCCCTCACCAGCCCTGTTTTGTCTTTCTGAGACTGGATCTCCTGTATCCCAGACTGGCTTCAAACTTATCATCTTGAACTTCTGAATCTCCTGCCTCCACTTCCTGAGTGCTGAGCTAGGTGTACAAAACCTTCCTGGTTTATGTGGTGCTGGGGATTAAACCCAGGGCCTTATGTATGCTAGGTAAGCACTCTACCAACTGAGCTACATCCCAGCCCATCTGGTTTTGAGGTAGGGGCTCACTCTGTAGCCCAAGCTGGGTAGAAGTTGTGGTGATCCTCCCGTCTCAGCCTGCCCAGTGCTGGATTACACACATGTACCTATGTTCCACCACATCTGGCAAATGTCTACGTTTAAAGTTAGTTTGATGCTAATGTAAGGTGGTGTATGTCTGTAACCCCATCACAAGAGACAGGAGGATCAGGAGTTCAAGGTTACCCTTGTCTATGATAGTGAGTCTAAGGCCAACCACAGCTACATGAGAGCTTGTGTTAAAAACAAAATACAAAATAGAAAGCATTCCATTAAAACAAAATGGGGAGTGGGGGGCTGGAGATGGCTCAGCAGTTAAGGGCACTGGCTGCTCTTTTAAAAATATATTTTCTTGTCGGACGTGGTGGTGCACGCCTTTAATCCCAGCACTCAGGAGGCAGAGACAGGCGGATCTCTGTGAGTTCAACGCCAGCCTGCTGTGTTCCAGGCCAGCTGGAGCTACAGGGAGACCCTGTCTCAAAAAGACCAAAAAAAAAAAAAAAACCATATATATACTTTTAAAAATTTATTTATTATTTTTAGTGTCTGAGTATATTGCCTGCATGTGTGTCAGTACACGTCATGCAATGTTTGAGGAAGTCATAAGAGGGTGTTCTATCCCCTGGAACTAGAGTTAGGACAGTTGTTAGCTGCCATGTGGGTACTGGGAATCAAACCTAGGTCCTCTGTAAGAGTAGTCACTGCTTTTAACCTCTGAACCAACTCTCCAGCCCCAATTTTTAAACTTTTTTTTTTTTTTTTTTCCGGTCTTTTTGAGATAGATCAGCCCCACCTGATCTGGAGATCACTATGTAGACCAAGCTGGCCTTGAATTCATAGTGGTCCAACTGCCTCCGCTTCCCTGCCTGCCTCTGGCTATAGAAAGACCGTGTCTCAAAAAGACCAAAAAACAACAACAAAAAAACCAAGTTGTCGGCCAGGCGTGGGCGGTGCATGCAAAGGCAGGCAGAACTCTGTGAGTTCAAGGCCAGCCTGGTCTACATAGTGAGTTCCAGGACAGCTGGGGCCATAGGGAGACCCTGTCTCAAAAACAACAACAAAAAACAACAAAAAAGGCAAAAAAAACAACTTGTGATCTACACGCACACACACTCACACACACACACGCACACACGCATGCACGCACGCGCGCGCACACATACACACACACACACACACGTAATAATAGCTTATTTTTCCCACAGAGAACAGGGCTCAGATAACTTTGCTTTCACTTCTGCAAACTACAAGGTAGATGCCATGGCCAGGGCACTCCTTCAGTGACAGACTCACCACTAGAGGCACCACGGCGAAGCTCACTCTGGGGGTTGGGACTGCAGGGCACAGACTCAGTGGCAGCTTTGCACATGTCCTGGAAGTGACAGGCAGTAGTGTTAGCACAGCAGAATGGAGACTCATATCTGAGCAACATACAGGACAGCGAAGAGAACTTGAACTATTCTGCTCTGTTTTGTGGGGTCTTGTTTAAGATGTATATTTATTTTTAAGTGTGTGTGTGTGTGTGGCTATGTGTGGCTATGTGTGGGTATGCATATAAGCACAGGTACCCATGGAGGCCAGAGGTGTGGGATTCTCTGGAGCCAGAGTTAGCTGCCCAAACATAGGTGCTAGGAACCAAAATCAGGACCTCTGGAAAGGCAGGAAGTGCTCTTAACTGCTGAGCCATCCCTCCAGCCACATTCTGTTCTGCTCTGGACTAAAAGAAAGCTCCCCTGGCTGGGTAGAAAGCTCAGCAGATAAAGGCACTTGGTGCTATCTGACAAGATGAGTTCAACCCTCAGGATCACATGGTGGAAGGAGGTGGATGCAGGTGGATCTCTGAGAGTTCAAGGCCAGCTGGGTTCAAGGCCTGGTCTACATAGGGAGTTCCAGGCCAGCTGGGGCCACAGGGAGACCATGTCTCAAAAAGACCAAAATAGGCCGGGCGTGGTGACGCACACCTTTAGTCCCAGCACTCGGGAGGCAGAGGCAGGCGGATCTCTGTGAGTTCAAGGCCAACCTGGTCTACATAGTGAGTTCCAGGACAGCTGGAGCTACAGGGAGACCCTGTCTCAAAAAGATAAAATAAATAAATAAATAAAATAAATAAATAAATCATCCTGCACCCCCAATCAAGAGATAGATCATAAAATATCTAAGCAATACTCATTAAAAGTGACAAGGATAAGCTGGGGGACATGGCTCAGTGGTTGAGCATTTATGTCTGGCCAGCAGCTTAAGGATGTGAGTTTCATTTCCAGTACTGCAAAAGCAAAACTGTCAAGGACATGTAAACAAGGAAAGACTGAAACTGTCACATATCAAAAGAGACTACAGAGACATGACAAATAAACAAAATGTAATATCCTGGATTGGATCCTGGAACAGATCACTGGGGAAAAAACTGCTGAAATCCAAATAGCCTGTCCTGGTTACCTGTGTAGCTCAGCAGTAAGGTGTTTGTGAAAAATCTACCAGGGCTAAGGCTGGGGCTCAGTGGTAGAGCACCTGCCTAGAATCCCCTAGTGAGGGGCTGGAGGTGTGGCTCAGTGGCAGAGCACCTGCCTAGAATCCCCTAGTGAGGGGCTGGAGGTGTGGCTCACTGGCAGAGTAGAGGTTTTGCTTAAGTTTCATCCCCAGCATGTAGGGGTGTGGGAGATATATGATGGTCAGGTGTTAATGCTCTCTTAACTAGTTTCAGTGATGGACCATGCCTACTTAAGATGTTGACATCGCCAGGCATGGTGGTACACGCCTTTAAACCCGGCACTTAGGAGGCAGAAGCGGGTAAATCTTGGAGAGGTTGAGGCCAGCCTGGTCTAACTACTGAGTTCCAGGGCAGCTGGGACTTCAGGGAAACCCTGTCTCAAAAAAGAAAAAAAAAGGTTGACATCAGAGGCTAGAGAGATGACTCAGTGGTTAAGAGTACTGGCTGCTCTTGCAGAGGACCCAGGTTTGATTCCCAGCACCCACATGGTGGCTAATAACCTGTGTTGGATAGCTTCAGTGTCAACTTGACACACCTGGGTTGAGGGAGCTTCAGTTGGGGAATTGCCTCCACTGGACTAGCCTATGGCCATGTCTGTGGGGCATTGTCTTGATTATTGAGTGATGTTGGGGGGCCCAGCCTCTGTGGGTGGTGCCATGCCTGGGCAGGTGGGCCTGCGTTGTATATAAGAAAGCAGGTTGAGCCGGGTCCAGAGGAGCAAGCCAGTGAGCAGTGTTCTTCCATGGCCTGTACTCCAGCTCCTGCCTCTAGGTTCCTGCTCTGAGTTCCTACCTTGGGCTCCCTCAGTGATAAACTGTGACCCAGGAGATGTAAGCCAAATAAACCCTTTCCTCCCCAGAGTGTTTTGTCACAGCAATGGAGAAACAAACTAGAACACAACCATTTGTAACTCCAGTTCCAGAGGAATTTGACACCCTCTACTAACCTCCATGGGTATTGCACAACATGGATATAGTTACATACATGCAGGTAATATACTTATACACATAAAATAAATAAAACATTAATAAAAAAAAGATGTTGATATCATCAGGAGCCAGATCAGAAAGATGAAAACTTTGTGGACTACTGGAACTTTTCGTTTATTTTATTTCATTGTTATTTTTATTTTATTTATAATTTATT